TTGCTTTCCATTTGCTTGGTAGATCTTCCTTCATCCCTTTATTTTGAGCCTGTGTGTGTCTCTGCACGTGAGATGGGTCTCCTGAATACAGAACACTGATGAGTCTTGACTCTTTATCCAGTTTGCCAGTCTGTCTTTTAATTGACACATTTATCCCATTTATATTTAAGGTTAATATTGTTATGTGTGAATTTGATCCTGTCATTTTGATGATAGCTGGTTATTTTGCCTGTTAGTTGATGCAGTTTCTTCCTAGCATTGTTGATCTTTACAATTTGGCATGTTTTTGCAGTGGCTGGTACTGGTTGTTTGTTCCTTTCCATGTTTAGTGCTTCCTTCAGGAGCTGTTGTAAGGCAGGCCTGGTGGTGACAAAATCTCTCAGCATTTGCTTGTCTGTAAAGGATTTTATTTCTCCTTCACGTATGAAGCTTAGTTTGGCTGATATAAAATTCTGGATTGAAAATTCTTTTCTTTAAGAATGTTGAATATTGGCCCTCACTCTCTTCTGGCTTGTAGGGTTTCTACCGAGAGATCTGCTGTTAGTCTGATGGACTTCCCTTTGTGGTTAACCCGACCTCTCTGGCTGCCCTTAACATTTTTTACTTCATTTCAACCTTGGTGAATCTGACAATTATGTGTCTTGGGGTTGCTCTTCTCAAGAAGTATCTTTGTGGTGTTCTCTGTATTTCCTGAATTTGAATGTTGGCCTGTCTTGCTAGGTTGCGGTAGTTCTCCTGGATAATATCCTGAGGAGTGTTTTCCAGCTTGGTTCCATTCTCCCTGTCACTTTTGGGTACACCAATCAAACGTAGATTTGGTCTTTTCACATAGTCCCATATTTCTTGGAAGCTTTGTTCGTTCCTTTTTACTCTCTTTTCTCTAAACTTATTTTCTCGCTTCATTTCATTAATTTTATCATCAATCACTGATATCCTTTCTGCCACTTGATCCAATCGGCTACTGAAGCTTGTGGTGCATGCGTCACCTAGTTCTCATGTCATGGTTTTCAGCTCCATCAGGTCATTTGAGGTCTTCTCTACACTGTTTTTTCTAGTAAGCCATTTGTCTAATCTTTTTTCAAGGTTTTTAGCTTCCTTGTGATGGGTTTGAACATCCTCCTTTAGCTTGGAGAAGTTTGTTATTACTGATCTTTTGAAGCCTACTTCTGTCGACTCATCAAAGTCATTCTCCATCCAGCCTTGTTCCGTTGCTGGTGAGAAGCTGCGATCCTTTGGAGGAGAAGAGGCGCTCTGATTTTTAGAATTTTCAGCTTTTCTGCTGTGGTTTCTCCCCATCTTTGTGGTTTTATCTACCTTTGGTCTTTGATGATGGTGACTTACAGATGGGATTTTGGTATGGATGTCCTTTTTGTTGACGTTGATGCTATTCCTTTCTGTTTGTTAGTTTTCTTTCTAACAGTTAGGTCCCTCAGCTGCAGGTCTATGGGAGTTTGCTGGAGGTCCACTCCAGAACCTGTTTGCCTTGGTATCACCAGCGGAGGCTGCAGAACAGCAAATATTGCAGAACAGCAAATGTTGCTGCCTGATCCTTCCTCTGAAAGGTTTGTCTCAGAGGGGCACCAGGCTGTATGAGGTGTCAGTTGGGTCCTACTGGGAGGTGTCTCTCAGTTAGGCTACATGGAGGTCAGGGACCCACTTGAGGCAGTCTGTCCGTTCTCAGAGCTCAAACACCGTGCTGGGAGAACCACTGCTGTCTTTAGAGCTGTCAGACAGGGATGTTTCAGTCTGCAGAAGTTTCTGCTGCCTTTGTTCAGGTATGCCCTGCCCCCAGAGGTGGAGTCCACAGAGGCAGGCAGGCCTCGTTGAGCTGTGGTGGGCTCCACCCAGTTCGAGCTTCCTGGCTGCTTTGTTAACCTACTCAAGCCTCAGCAATAGTGGATGCCCCTCCCTCAACCAGGCTGCCACCTTGCAGTTCAATCTCGGACTGCTGCACTAGCAGTGAGCAAGGCTCCGTGGACGTGGGACCCGCTGAGCCAGGCATGGGATATAATCTCCTGGTTTGCAATTTGCTAAGACTATTGGAAAAGCGCAGTATTTGGGTAGCAGTGTCTCGATTTTCCTGGTACAGTCTGTCATGGCTTCCTTTGGCTATGAAAGGGAAATACCCTGACTCCTTGTGCTTCCTGGGTGAGGTGATGCCCCACCCTGCTTCGGCTCGCCCTCTGTGGTCTGCACCTGCTTTCCAGCCAGTCCCAATGAGAAGAACCAGATACCTCAGTTGGAAATGCAGAAATCACCCGTCTTCTGCATCAATCACACTGGGAGCTGCAGAGTAGAGCCGTTCATATTCAACCATCTTGGACTTGGGTGTATTTTTAAAAATCCATCATTATAGTCTTGTTTTTCCCCTTTACTAGTTAGAAAATTATATGCTTCTGTTTGATTCTTCAGTTGATGTCCTAGAAATTCTCAACCATCCTTAACTTATTCAAAAGCCCAATGTTAACAGATACCTTTACCAGTGTCCACCTGGATTGTAAACAAACTTAGAACACTGTTACTCCATTTGCCCTACTCTCAGCTAATATATTTCTGTTATTGTGCACTTTAATTGTATATTTTAAACTTCACAAGATCTCGTTATGTAGTCTGTGTTTAGACTCACTCATTTTTTTGCTCTATTTTTTTCTATATCTCTGCTTTTCTATCAGGGAGTCTTCTGCATGAAGCATCTTCTTTAGAATTTTTTTACAGAGCAGATTCGATGAACTCTCAGATTTATTTTGTGTCATGTATTTGAAAATATATTACTTTTGCCTTTATTATTCATTAATGAATGTTTTCACTGGCTTTAGAATTTTAGATCAGCAATTATTTTCTTTCAGCACATTGAAGATATGTCTAGGTATGACTGACTTTTTTTTTTCTTTTTTCTTTTTTACTTTATCCCAGTTGCAGTATGTTGGGTTTCTAGAATGTGTGGATTTGTGTCTTTCATTGATTCTCAAATTTTTCTTAGCCATTAGCTCTTCAAATGCTGCTTCTACTCCATTCTTTCCTTTGTTCTTGGGTACCAGTTATGCATTATACTTCATCAGTGTATCCTCTATTTGGAGGAGTATGTCTTCTGTATTTTTCTGAATGCAGCATAAAGAACTGAAAGAAGCATCTTCCAAAAGTTAACAGTTTATTAATGTCACATGCTTTTCACATTATACAGTTAGATATTTCCTTCATTCTGTGGTGGGTGGTGGGACAGGACAGAGTATGTGTGTGTGTGGTATATGTGTAAAATCCCAGAATGCTTTATTTCCAGAGGAGAACATTATAAGATAGGGTTTATTCAAATGAGTCTTACAATCTGCTATGTAAGAAGTCATAAAGTTTTGACGCAGGAATGACCTGAATTGCCCTGCAAGAGAAGTGGATTCTTTTAAATATACTTTTCTTTAACTCTTATTGCACTTTTTGTCTTTTTTCATTCAGGCAACTCAAATTTTTTAATTGCCAATTTCTGTTTCTTTTGATTCTACAAAAGAAACTATGTTTCCGGTAGCCCCTAAACCTCAGGATTCCAATCAACTGTCAGATAGACTCATGACTGAAAAACAGGTAAACTTAAAATATTTTAAGACATTGCTTCTCAAAATATGTGCCAAAGAATGCTACATCTGCAAACAGGAAAATTTGACTTTAAAAGGATTCTTTTCTCTTAATTTTGGGAAATGCTGGGTTAAAGACTATGAAATGGTTTAATTACTCTAAGACTTCACAATATTAGTCTCCAAAGGGAGGATTTAGTATACAACATTTCATACCTACTTAACACTAGTTTGATGAACATTTCATTAGATTAGTGTTCTGTAGCATGTACTTTGGAAAATGCCATTCCCAGCTATTTTCAGAATTTACAATTACTTTACCTTAAAATGTAAGAGGTATCAGGGAACAATATGTATAAGTTAACCATCCAAAATATGTGACTTTATTATGTATAGAGCATTTTATTTTTATGAGTTACAGTAGATGTTCTGAGACACTAACTCAGAGCTTTTGGCTCCTAAAACAAACATCAGTGATAATTTTAGTTGTGTCTACCACGTAGTTAAACTCTGTGATCAGAAAGACTAAAGCATAAATGAAGGAAAAGTTATGAGTGGGAGGAGGTGTCAAAAAAAAGGAGGAAAAAGTCAACAGTCAAAAAGAAAGATTTATTTGACTTTGAGAGCATCTTTCAGTATGATTCTGTTAGAGTCAGTTATCCAGATGGACAGGCTCCTTTTTATAGTTAGACCTTGTCCATTTGACAAGGAGCTGTCTGAAATATTTGCTCCAACTAGTCAGGTATGTTTTGATTTTTTTGTGACCCTAGTAATTATGAAAGTGATACTTAGAAGTGACTTACCTTTTCTTTACTATTCAGTTATTATAGCCTAGTGTGCAGCTGTTTATTCTGAGCAGGGCGTGGTTTGGCTTATTAAATCTAAAACCTTAGAATTGTGTGATTCACTGAAATTACAAGGTGTTTTTATTGTTGTTAGTTTTGTCCATTGAGGCCTACATGTGAGTATTCTGTATAATGCGACAATTTGTGCTTATTTACATACTTCTAGTCTATTACTAATTTTGCTAGAAACAATAAATGTGTTTTTTGGATATTGTATATGCATAAACATTTATACTTAAAACTTTTGAAGAAAATGTTCTATTCTGAAAATGCAGGAAATTATGTATGAGAGAATTTCTTCACTTTATGTCTTAAAGTTGACCCTTTTTCCTCTCTTTGTAATTGTAGCAGGAAGAAGCAGAATGGGAAAGCATAAATGTGCTATTGATGATGCATGGCTTAAAACCTTTGTCTCTAGTCAAAAGAACAGATCTCAAAGGTAATTAGATCCTATTCTTGCTGCTTAAGGTAAAAAGTATTTCTCCTTAAAATTTTTTTTATCTTAAATCTTTTGCCTTTTATTTTTACTATATGTATTACATACTTTTTAAAATGTAGATCTCATCATTTTTGACAAACAGTCATCACAAAGGATGAGACAGAATTTGAAATTGTTGGTGGAAGAAACATCACGTCAACAGAACATGATACAGGAGCTTATAGAAACTAATCAGCAGCTTAGGTAAGAAAATGGAAAATATTTCTTTTGAATTGTTTGTATGCATTCTAAAAATAACTGCATTGAAAACAATCTTGAAATTTAATTTCCCATTTTGATTAAATATTAAACTAAAAAACATTTTTGGCTGGGCGCGGTGGCTCAAGCCTGTAATCCCAGCACTTTGGGAGGCCGAGATGGGCGGATCACGAGGTCAGGAGATCGAGACCATCCTGGCTAACACAGTGAAACCCTGTTTCTACTAAAAAAAAAAAATACAAAACACTAGCCGGGCGGGTGAGGTGGTGGGCGCCTGTAGTCCCAGCTACGTGGGAGGCTGAGGCAGGAGAATGGCGGGAACCTGGGAGGCGGAGCTTGCAGTGAGCTGAGATCCGGCCACTGCACTCTAGCCTGGGCCACAGAGCGAGACTCTGTCTCAAAAAAAAAAACAAAAAAAACAAAAAAAATATTTTTGTAGGTAAAATTTTAATAGGTAAATCTTTTGGTAATAGCTTAGCATATATGTTTAATGGTACCCTATATTTCTTCTATTAGTTTCTGTTGCAGGATGAGCATCTCAAATCTGAAAATTTGAAAGGCTCCAAAATTTGAAACTTTTTGAGCACCAACATGATGCTTAAAGGAAATGCTTATTGGAGCATTTTGGATTTCGGATTTTCAGATTTGAGATACTTAACTAGTAAGTACGATGCAAATATTCCAAAATCTGAAAAATCTGAAATATGAATCACTTCTGATCCCAAGCATTTTGGATAAAGAGAATGCAAAGAAACTTTAGAAAGTCAATATGTTGTTATATGGATATGTTTGGTAATTTGATTTATTTTTAATACTAAGGGAAGAAATTGTATGTCTTTTAACTTAGAAATGAACTTCAGCTAGAGCACAGCCGAGCAACCAATCAAGAACAACGAGCTAATGACTTGGAACAAATTATGGAGAGTGTGAAATCCAAAATTGGTGAATTGGAGGATGAATCACTAAATAGGGCTTGCCAGCAACAGAATAAAATAAAAGATCTTCAAAAGGAGCAGAAAACTTTACAGGTACTGAGTTATGAATTCCTAGATGATGGTTAGTTAGTACTAAAACAGCTCATTATGGTCCCAGGTGACTTCCATGTTGTTTGATTCAGTGGTTTTTACCTTTTTTGGCCTATCACTGCTACCTTGAAATTTTCTTCACTTGATTTCCAGAATGTCCTCTTTGTTTCCCTCTGACCTCACTGATCATTCTCTAATTTCTTTTGCTGTTTTTTTCCCCTCATCTTCCTAGCCTCTTAGTGAGACAGTGCTCAAATTGGAATTCCCCAGTGCTCAGTCTTTGGATCTTTTCTCTTTCCTATATACTTTGATTCCCTTGGTAATCTCAATCTAATATAGGATCCAAAATTTATATCTGTAGCCCTGTCCTCTCCCCGAATTCCAGACTCATATCCAGTTGCCTACTTGATATCTCTACTGGATATCTATTAGGCATCTACAACTTTATTTATTTACTTTTTTGAGTCAGCGTCTGGCTCTGTCACCCAGGTTGGAGTGCAGTGGCGCAATCACGGCCCAGTGCAACCTCTGCCTCCTGCGCTCAGGTGATCCTTCCACCTCAGCCTCTGGAGTAGCTGGGACTACAGGCACATGCCACCATGCCTGGCTAATTTTTATATTTTTAATAGAGACAGGCTTTTGCCATGTTACCTAGGCTGGTCTCAAACTCCTGAGCTCAAGCGATGCGCCTGCCTCGGCCTCCCAAAGTGCTGGGATTACAGGTATGGGGCACTGCACCTGGCTGGCATCTACAACTTTTTATGTCTAAAACAGAAATGGCAATTTTATGACATTAAATAATTAACTTTCTAATTTTAAAAACTTAAAACTTGGGTGTTTATTGTGATTAAAGGAAATGAATCTTGTGCTGGTAACTAATGTTTAGTTGTGTGAGATGTTTCTGATCTTTACCAACATTATATGATTATAAACATTAAGTTCTTATTTTAGTGGTTTTGCTGACACAACACTATATATACCTTTGCATATGTGAGTTCAGGCTATCTAAAAGGGAGCAGTATTCATCAGGCAGGGTCTGGAAGTCCCCTCAGTGTATGCTGGCAGTATTGGAAGGATCAGATGAGTTAGTATAAATTCCATGGAGTCCAAGAGAATTAACCAGACATACTAGGGAGCTCTAGTATGAGGATAGAGGCAGTTGGTGCTCTGACCTTGTTTATGTGCCAGCTTGGGGCAGGCAGTACTAGAGCTGCTGATATTGATCATAGTTTCAGAGAAGACATTGTTTGACAAACTCCTCTACTATTAGAATGCAATATTTTTAGGTTGGCTTTTTTTTTTTTTTTGAGACAGAGTTCAGCTCTGTCGCCCAGGCTGGAGTGCAGTGGCGTGATCTCGGCTCACTGCAACCTCCGCCTCCCAGGTTCAAGCGATTCTCCTGCCTCAGCCTCCCAAGTAGCTGAGTCTACAGGCATGCACCACCATGCCTGGCTAATTTTTTGTGTTTTAGTAGAGACGGAGTTTCACTATCTTGGCCAGGCTGTTCTCGAACTCCCGACTTCATGATCCACCCGCCTCAGCCTCCCAAAGTGCTGAGATTATAGGCGTGAGCCACTGCGCCCGGCCTAGGTTGGCTTTGTTAACAAGGTTGCTTTCCTCATCGATAGTATATTTATAACATCTCTCTAAAAGGAGGGGTATTTTGGAAATATTTTCTGTATGCATTGGTTTTGACCTTGCTCTTAAAGGGCAAGTAGAAATCTGAAGCTCTTTAAATCATTGATTTATTGGTGTGAAAAAGCAGTCATCAGAAGCTGTAAAGGTGCTGTGCTGGGTCTTTGGCTGAGTGAACAAGTTCAGAGCAGGGAAGACCAGTGGTCTTTGTTGGGGAAGATATCTATTTATCTTTCAGAGAGGTTGAGATATAATTAATAACAAAATTAAATTATTAGAAATACAAGGCTTACATATTTACCAGGGTTTTAAGCACTTCAAAGAACAGATACATGAGAGTTCATTGGTAAGGGGTGACTTGAATGTAATGCCATGTATTTTCTATCAAATGGTTTCATCTATCATAAATGATTTATCATGCCTTTAGCTCTTTGTTCCAGGTCCCAAAGATTTGTCCTGTAGCTTATAAATTAGTACAGAGGAGGTTTCATGTTTCAGTCACCCATAGAAGGGGAAAGGCAAATAGGATTGAGGAGTGGATACCTGGGGTTGGGGAAGGCTATCTGTCCTAATATGATCAACTGAAATTAGTTGTTTGTTTTTTTAAGTCTCTGATGGGTACTTTATAGAGTGTCAACAGAAATCACAAACCCAAGGAATTGCTGTCCCTGAATGTTGTTAGGTTGCCTCATTTCATACTAGTCAAACATCTCATTCTATTATAGAGAAGGAAAAAATATTTTTACTTCTATCCTTTCAGATTCTCAATCAGGGCTCTATAACAAAAGCCTAGCAAGTGAAAAACAAACAAGTTTATGAATATGTTTGTATCATATATACATGGGAGAAACCCATGGATGTTGGGCTCAAAGAGATTGCTAGAACTTGGACTTCTATAGCATCTTAACAACAGCCACCACCAGTAAATTTTCAGAGAAGTGGCAAGACAAAGGAAAAAGACTTTGAGTCTCTAGGGAAGCAAATTGTGGGAAGGTAAATATATCAGGGACTAATGGAAGATAAGGGCTAGTCAGTAAAGTTGGTTATGTAGAGTCCTCTAGTGCCACCTCTGGGCTAATAAGGATCCAGGGTTGTCACTGGATTAATTTCTGTACAAATTTATGTACTCCTTTAGGCTAATAAAGGAAGGGCAGAGAGCTTTTCTCGTGTTATTGTCTTAGTTGCCTTCAACTCAGAATAATCCTTATACCAAAGTGGCATGTTTTGAGGTGTCAGCTTCTATTCTTGACCATACTAATCAATCTTTGCTTTCTTGAGAAGATGAAAGTGCTTGTGGAGAATAATTATTTCATAGTTTAAGGCACATTATTCTATTTTTGGTATACAGTTGCTTCCAATTTTAGAATGGTTTAGTGCTGCATGTTTTGTAGTTGGGAGAAAGGAAACATTGGTTTTGTATGTATACGCAAAGAGGTCAAGGAAATTTGCAAATGTTTGAGGTATATTGAAAGACTTTTGGGAAAAGACAATTCAGATGGCATGGGCTATTGATATAATTGATATTCAGTTTTTTTCATTCAGCATAATTATTTCAAGATTCACCCATGTAGTTGCACATATCCATAGTTTATTCCTTTTTGTTGCTGAGAAGTACTCCATTGTATGGATATACCACAGTTTGTTTATCCATTCATCTGTTGATGGACATTTTAGTTGTTTCTAGTTTTTGGCTATTACAAAGAAAGCTCTTGTAAACTGTATGTTCAAATATTTGTGTAGACATACGCTTTCAGTTTTCTTGGGTAGATACCTAGAATTGGAATTCCTGAGTTATATGGTAAGTATACATTTAAGTTTTTTTTTTTTTTTTTTTTAATACTTTAAGTTCTGGGGTACATGTGCAGAATGTTCAGGTTTGTTACATAAGTATACACTTGCCATGGTGGTTTGCTGCACCCATCAACCCATCATCTACATTAGGTATTTCTCCTAATGCTATCCCTCCCCTAGCCCCCCACCCCCCGACAGGCCCCGGTGTGTGATGTTCCCCTTGCTGTGTCCATGTGTTCTCATTGTTCAACTCCCACTTATAAGTGAGAACATGCCGGTGTTTGGTTTTCCATTCTTGTGTTAGTTTGCTGAGAATGATGGTTTCCAGCTTCAAAGGACATGCACTCATCCTTTTTCACAGCTGCGTAGTATTCCATGATGTATATGTGCCACATTTTCTTTATCCAGTCTATCACTGATGGGCATTTGAGTTAGCTCCAAGTCTTTGCTGTCATAAATAGTGCTGCAATAAACGTGTGCATGTGTCTTTATAGTAGAATTATTTATAATACTTTGGATATATACTCAGTAATGGAATTGCTGGTCAAATGGTATTTCTTCTGGTTCTAGATCCTTGAGGAATTGCCACACTGTCTTCCACAATGATTGAACTAATTTACACCCCCACCAACAGTGTAAAAGTGTTCCTATTTCTCCACATCCTCTCCAGCATCTGTTGTTATCTGACTTTTTAATGATCACCATTCTAACTGGTGTGAGATGATATCGTGTGGTTTTAATTCGCATTTCTCTAATGACCAGTGATGATGAGCTTTTTTTCACATGTTTATTGGCCATATAAATGTCTTATTTTGAGAAGTGTCTGTTCATATCCTTCACCCACTTTTCGAGGGGGTTGTTTTTTTCTTGCAAAATTGTTTAAGTTCTTTATAGATTCTGGATATTAGCCCTTTGTCAGGTGGATAGATTGCAAAAATTTTCTCCCATTCTGTAGGTTGCCTGTTCACTCTGATGGTAGTTTCTTTTGCTGTGCAGAAGCTCTTTAGTTTAATTAGATC